TTTTTAAGAAGAGATTGGACAACTATTTGTCTGAAATGGTATAGGGTTTCTTGCCTAAATGTAGAACCTTACTTTTTTCACCATTGAATTTCATTTTGTTAGATAGTGCCCAATGTTGAAGTTTGTCAAGATCCTTCTGTAACTTAAGCCTATCTTCTGGAGTCTTGGCTATTCCTGCCAGCTTGGTGTCATCCTTCCCAAGTTCTCTCTATTGAAAGTAGCTCTCTTAATGTCAGAGACTCTAGTTTGACTTTGTTCTATTGCTCGTGCTTGCATAATGCTGAATTCCAATACTGCATGATCACTCGCCCTCAAGGTTCCTGTAGCTTCAACACCTTATATCATTTTTCCATCTCTGTTAGTAAGAATTAAATTGGCTGATCCCCTATTTCCCTTCTCTGCTTTTTGGGAAACAAAGTTGTCTGCTAGGTTTGTCAGGAACCTGATTAATCTACCACAGTACAGAGTTTGTCTTCCAATTGATGTGCTTCCTATATATCTTAGTTTACTGACTAGCAAAAAAATCCATCTATTTCCTATGTTTCATCCCACCAAGTTTCTGTAATGGCAACAATATCATATCTGCTCTCATTTATTTGAATTTCTAATTCCCCCTATGTATTCCTTATACACTGTGCATTGGTATATAGACATTTGAGGTTTTTTTGGCTGATCCTGTGTTTACTTTCTACATAACCTGTTTTGTGCCTGAATTCCTCTACTTCCTTACCAGCTGCACATGGTATGGCACTCACTATTAAATGTTTGATTTTGCTTGACAGCAATGTTGCAAGGTGTGTGTGCCCACACCCATAACGCCATGCGTGCATGACACCCTCACGCTCTCCCCACACCCATGTTCATGTATGTGTGACACACACACAATTTGGGCCTAGCAACCCTTCCTGAAGCCTCCTGAGACCAAAAACGGGGCGTGGGGGGCATTGCGCCCCCTGTGCCCCCTGGCGTGCATGCACACCCCCTGCCCCCCTCCAAACGCATGCATGGCAGAAACTCAAAAATCAGTTGGCCAGTGAGAGGCATGTGTGCATATGTGGTGAAGTTGAGCTGGGGCGATGGCTCGCATACCCACAGAGAGTGCTCCATGTGCCACTTGTTGCATGCGTGCAATAGGTGCAATAGGTTCTCCATCATGGCCATATTAATTCTAGATTACTGGGGACAGAAATGTTCTGTATCAATGCATTCTATGTCCCCGTTGTTTAATTTAAATGTTTCTCCAGAAAATCAATACAATGCCAAGGAACTCAGTTCCTTTCTTTGATGGATGCAAACAATCTCTTTTGTACAGTTTTTCTTTGGACCAGCTGCAGACATCGTGATTAATATAACCAAAGCCTTCGCTTTTATACCACTCCTTTAGCCACACATTGAACTCCGTTATACGCTGGCCTTTTTCTTTTTGTTTCCTTATATGTTTCCTTATATATTGGAAAACTTCTGAAAAGTAAAGCCTACATCCTATCCTACTAAATTCCTGCCCCAAGTTCTGCAAATCATTCTGCACAGAAAGTACATCTTTTGGGGACAGATCATTTGTGCCAAGAGATACAATAGTATCAGCATCACAGTCCTTAATAGCATCCTTGACTATCTCAAATATACACCCCTCGTCTCTGTTAGTAGTAGCACCTGGCAGACATCTAACCTCTTTCAAAACATCTGTATCCTTTCCTAAATTTACAGGATTTATAGGATATTTAGCTATAGACATGCGGTACCTAAACTGCATTGCAGGATCTGAATTATGTCCTATAGTACAGACTATTTTCATGTCAAAATGGAAATGAAAACAATGGTCAAAACTGGATATTTCTGTAAGTGTAGTCCTAGGATAGAGGGTTACACAATCATGTTATGATAAGCAAAGCACAAAAGTGAAGTGAGTCATTTTGTTGTTTTGAAGGTATCAGCACCTATGAGCAAGTGCAGAGTCGGCACAACGTGAAAGATGCTATCATCTTAATCCAGACAATTCTTCTTGTCCTTTTTGTGAGCATACCTGTGTTGCTAACCCAAGGGAAGGTGAGTGAATGGAATAGTCATAATCGTTCAGTAGGGCCTTGACTGACCACTAGACTATAATCAAATTTGTGATTATAATGGTGATTTTTTTAAATATTAGAGCATGTGGGTAGCTTCTTCATGAATCAGGGAGGGTCTTTGGGGAATTTTTAGAGCAGAGGTGGCATAATGGTTAGAGTGCAGTACTGCAGGCTACTTCAGCTGACTGCTAGCTGCAGTTCAGCAGTTCAAATCTCACCGGCTCAAGGTTGACCCAGCCTTCCATCCTTCCGAGCAGATGTGGCATTCAGCTGGTTCTCTCTGGTTCAGGTGAACCGATAACGGCAGCTGCAGGAGGCTCTGCCCACCCGCCCCGACATAATGCAGGAGCACTGCGCATGTGCAGAATGTGCACATTTGCAGATATGGTGTGTGCACTCACATTTGTGAACTGGTAGGGAAGGTAAGTGAATCTCACCGCTGCTTCCGAGCTGGGTAAAACGAGGACTCAGATTGTTGAGGACAATATTCTGACTCTGTAAACCACTTAGAGAGGACTGTAAAAGCATAATGAAACTGTATATAAGTCTAAGTGCTATTGCTATTTTGAAGGGTTGCAGGAATGCAGTTGCAAGTGTCTTAAGGCTCACCTTCTTATTCTCAGCCCCTTTCCTCTAGAACAGTTGACTCCAGATACAAAGGTGGGCTCTTCCTTATTTTCATTCTGGAGACCTACTAAGATCTGGCTCTTCTGGAGGAAGTTTGGGATATTTCACTGGTACATTGTGCCAGCATAATAATATATCTGGCATGATTATGATTCTTTTTTTTAAATTTTTTTTTTAAAAAAATATTTTTTGAATAGACACAANCTGTCAGACTGAGCTAGTTGCTCCCAGAGAACTCTAAAAAGCCTCTAAAAATGCCCTCTACAGGAGGCGAGAGAATATGTGCCTCATTTGCATAATTTCATGTGTCACTATCCTTCACGTGTAGAATCAATCAGAAGTGTACAACCAGAGGGCTCTGAGCTTCAGGTGATCTACAAAAGTATTTTTAAGATTCTTCCAGAGTTACTGCCACATTGTATTTTTAATGTGATAAAATAGAAGTACTGAATATTAAAGTGTAAGGTTAACTTTATTTAAGTAAGCTACTGTATATACATAGACTAAATAAAATTTAGCCTTATCTAATATTTATAAGTGCTACATCAGTCAAAGTTGTGAAAAGTTTTGAAAAAGTTGTGCATGCTAGGTGAAATTGAACTCAATTAACTGTTAGTACTGACAGCTTTGACCCATCCCTCAAATTCCTCTCCAGGTCTGTCTACACAATACCATATAGAATCTTAAGAAACATGGCAGAAGATAATAGAAAATTCATATTGAAAATCCTTGAAGACTTGAGCTCGAATCAAATGAAGAAACTCGCATTGTTACTGAACGATAAACAAATACCAAAAATTCAGCTAGAGAAACTTGATGCACAAAAGGCAGCAGAATTATTTATGACTAATTTTTGCACACCTCTAGAAATACTTAGAGATTGTCTGGAGCAGATTCCCAGAAAAGATCTTATTCTAAAGATCAATGCTAAAATTGAAGCTGGTAAGTTGAGTGAAGTTTGTATATTTCCAAATGAGCCATAATTGATTTACTGAATTTTTACACTTCCTGATTCTTTAGGAATGCTATGCAGTGCCTACAGATCAAACCTTACAGAACAATAAAACAATGCAATGTACGGTGATAAAAAGACAGTGATCAAAAGATAGCACAAACTACACAATAACTAAGGCACACCCACATTACCTAGAAGGGACCTGGGCCTGGGTAAAGAGCGTGGTCTTCAAATGCCAGCAGGATAGGAGCCATCCATATTTTGAGGGGATTTCATTCCAGAGGGTAGATACTAAAGCAGATCAAGTGCAGTTCTGGGATCTTGCCAGATAGCAATAGCACTTAGACATATACCGCTTCATAGGGCTTTCAGCCCTCTCTAAGCCGTTTACAGAGTCAGCATATTGCCCCCACAGTCTGGGTTCTCATTTCACCCACCTTGGAAGGATGGAAGGCTGAGTCAACCCTGAGCCGGTGAGATTTGAACAGCTGAACTGCAGATAACAGTCAGCTGAAGTGGCTGCAGTACTGCACTCTAACAACTGCGCCACCTCAGCTCTTATATAGTATTATATTAGATACTTAGATAGTATTGTTTAACTGAAGAAACCCAGTATGCATCAATTCTACCAGATCAAATTGGCTGTAGATACTATGGAAAAAGAAGATCCCACAAATAACTTACTCTATGCCTTGCAGTCCTCTAGAGGTAACAACCAGCAGCTTGAATCACATTCCGAGGCAAATGCAACCAGTGCTCCAGCAACCAGTGCAACCAGTGCAACCAGTGCGCCACAAGCTGCAATCATTGAGCTTATGGAACAGAAATATTAAATAAGTGTAGTGAGGCATGCCCATCCCTGCCTTCAGCTCTGCGTTCTGGACCAGTCAAAACTTCCAGATGGCCTTCAAGAGAAGCCCTGTATAGAGTGTATTGTAGTAGTTAAACCACAAGGTGACTGAGACATGACTGTCTAAATGGCCTCGCAATCTAGGAGAGGGTGCTACTAGCCTACCAGATGAAAGTATGGCCTTTCTGTTCACCATTACTAACTATTGATTGAGTATGAATTGTGAATCCAGGATATTCCCCAGGCTGCACACCATTCTTGAATAGAATAATGCTATCCCATCCAAGATTAAAGATGAAAAATCTCCATATCTGGGGGGGCCAGATACCCATAGTTGCATATTAAGTCAGAAGCAATTCCTCTGGCACAGCCTCCAGCTCTGGGACAGAACTTTGATAACCTTACTTGACTGGCTTAAGGCTAAAATATATAATTGGGTATCACCAATCTACTGAGGATATTCAGCTCTAAACCAACTATTTTGTAAGTGTTGAATAGGAGAGAAAGAGGATAGAACCCTAAGGTATCCTACAAAAGAGGAGCCTAGGAAGCCATCTCTCCCAGCCCTCCAATCAACAACTGAACCAGCCCCAAGAAAGGAAGAAAAACATACAAAATGGTGACTTCTGTCCTCAGCCAATGTTCTTCCTTAGTTCAGAAAAATACTATGTTTAGCAGCAATTATGCCTTAGCTGAATTGCCTCCCAATCCTTAGGAAAACCCAAGGGAGAGTGACACCAGTGCCAAAAGACAGTCAATGTGATCCGTCCTTGGCAATCCACTGCCAGATCACAGGACCCGGACTGTTGTTGGGGGCAATATGCTGACTCTGTAAACCGCTTAGAGAGGGCTGAAAGCCCTATGAAGCGGTATATAAGTCTAACTGCTNAATTTCAAAAATATATGCTGAACTTTTCAAAATAATAAAAAAAACATTTAATACTAATGGTTTCCCCCCCCAAATTTTGACTTAGCATATTACTTCTTTGTTTCAGGAGCATGGGGAAAAAGTGTGTTTTCAAATTTCTACCACAGAAATCTGAAGATGTAACATTTTTAGCTCAATATGCATAACCAATTTCTTAAGAATAACCTTTTAACCAAGTAGTTTTCAGAACTACTTGTAAATAATTATATTTTGGGTCTAAGGGAGCTCCAAGTGCCCTCCAGCTGGGTTGATTGTCAGTTGCCAAAACTGGGTGAAGATTACAAGAGTTTAATTCAAACACATCTGAAAAGCACCAGATTGGAAGAATGATATATTATGGTAAGGGCTGTGAAGATTTTTATTCCTTGGTGAACACATCTGTCATAGACCTTCAGAGATTGCATTTTGAAAACCAAAGTATTTTTTAAAAAAATCCTTTTTGAAGTAGAGATCTAGTCACTGTTGGCAAGCACAGAAGCTTTGCTAAAAACCAACCTGCCCATATTTTGCTGCCCAAAATGGAACAACTGTGTTTGCGTAGACATCTATTTCCAAAACAAAAATAATGAAAGGCTTGTTGTGAAGTGATAACACAAACTACACCTTTTGTACTAATGTTACACACACGGATATCGAAGAGCCAGAGTTGTGTTGCAGATGTTTTGCAAATTTAGCACTTCTTCCGAAACGCCTACGTGTCTCTTGTTCCCTCATCCAGATCAAGTGTTTCCATTGCTTGACCAGAGAAAGTCCATAAGAAAACAATAACTAACCATGTATCATCTTTTCATACTTGCTAAGGTTACCCTGCCACTAAACAATTTTCACATCAAGAAAGTGGCAATTCAAAGCCACATTCCACATATAAAACACATATACAATTATTATNGCAATATGCTGACTCTGTAAACCGCTTAGAGAGGGCTGAAAGCCCTATGAAGCGGTATATAAGTCTAACTGCTATTGCTATCTCCAATCCAGTTATGGAGAAGGAAGCCTCTGAAAGCTTGCAACAGTTCACAGGTGATAACAGGCACTCTTCCTCCTTGCCCTCTCCCCAAAGAACGGATACATACATGCACATCCTTGCCAAGCCCAACTAAGTTTCAGGATAACATGGAAGGCAGCTTTGTTACAGATAAAATCAGCAGCCAAAGCCCAGGGCCACTGAGGATTCAATAGCTATGCACTGAAGATGGATACTTTCAGTAGCAAGTCCCCAGCTTCTTATGAGATGAATGCAAAATGCATAGTTTGGAAAAATCATATACCTTCTTTCCCCCAAAATAAGGCAGGGTCTTTTTTTTTTACCCCCAAAATAAGCACTTGGCCTTATTTGGGGGGAGGTCTTATTATTTTTGAGGTGCAGATGGCAGCAAGTGTAGTCACCTCATGGCAATATTTGGGGGGAGCATTTATTTTCGGGGGAAGGCTTATTTTAGTCCATGAGGTCAAAAGCCAGATTGGCCTTAATATCCGGGGAGGTTCTTATTTTCAGGGAAACAGGGTAGTCATAGATTTGTACAATGTTTCTATTTACTATGTAAGTGATCAGATAAGAGACCTGTACATTGGTTTTGTGGTTTCTTCATTTATTTAATGTGCATGCTCTATTTTTCA